TAAACTTTACCGAATGACCCCAAATTTCGATAAACTTATTTATTTACTATAAAGATTAATTTTTAGTGGTGGGCGAAAAAAAACATTTATTTTTTCTTTGCGCCACCCTAATATAAACGGGTATTTGGTTGCCGTGATTAAACCCATCGATGACTACTTTTTTTTCGATATTTTACGCCATTGTTTTAATTTTGGTTGTTAAACTGTTCACTTTCAAGACCAAAACGCGGGGAAGAAATACGCGAATATATGTTCTTATCTAAATACATATTCTCTAAATAGCATTGAATAATATACACTAATATACAAACAAAATAACAAAATATTGATTTTTTTTTTTTTGAAGACCCAGTAATGGTCATCAAAGGGTCTACCGAATCGCAGCATGCTCACCCGCATAGTCAAGAGTTTTGCCGAGCCGTGATCGTGGTGTCAGGCATAAAACGGAAGTAGTCGGAAGAGCATCCGGAGCAGCCGCCTGCCCAACTAGTTTGTAACGAATTAGCAGACGTACCTGCAGTCTGCACGTTACCCGCCTACTGTTTTGCCGTGCCAGCCGTGTTGGCCAATTCTCACAAAACGAACAACGTCAGTGAGGGTTGGCACAACCGTTTTTCAATTAATTTCAATTTAATTCAAATAATTTCTTTGTGTAATTATATATATAGCCCAAATAGCTCAAGTATTTTTAATATATTAAATACAATTTACATAAAATCATATTTTACCTACACTTTGTTGTAATAATAACTAAATAATTACATTCTTCATTTTACATTTTATCAAGGGGTATATTTATAAAACCAACTACACAATGCTCATACATATTAAATTTCCCAAAAATGTGCAAACTTCGTTTGATAAGAAATTATCAGACTTTTAAATTAACTTAACTGAACAAGACAAAAAACTTTATTTATTAAACAATTATTTTGTGTGTTGTATGAAGTAACGGTATTAAAAAACCAAAGTCGAAATAAATAACATTAGTAAATGTTATAATCAATGTCCTTCTATTGATCCGGTTGATAACGTCAAAGAAATTCAAGATAAAACAAATAAATAAAAAAATCATGACGTTTTGGCTGTATTTACGATGAACGTTATTCAAGTATTTTAATTATTTATTAAAGTAATTGTAGCTGATATAACTATTTATCAACGTTTTAGAATGAAACATGCGGGGCTGCTCTCTTCGCCAAAAGACAATGAGGTGATAACATTTGGATTATTCATTATATTCAAGTTTTGAATTATCTGAGATTCTATTAATTTTAATAGTAATAATAAATGCAATATCCTTTTTTGTGATGTGTTTGATGGAAACATTTCAAAAATTTTTTTTTTCAAAAAAAATTCATCGAATAGCATATATTATTGGATGGATGATATTTTGTCGATATATCGAAAAATGACCAACGTGAAAGGTAAAAAAAAATATATAATATATTTCTCTTTTAACGAGAAATAAAATTTCAAAGTATATTTATAATATCTGGTATTGTTTCTTTTAGTTTTTACCTGTAGCTCGTCGTTTGCATCTAAGCTCTAAAAAGAAATTCCCATTAAATACAATTAGTAAAGTTTTGCATAAAAAAAAAATCTATTCAATATGTATGTCGGTTATGTGTGTACTAAAGTAGCGCAATAACTAAGCAACAACATTATTGTTTATTTGGCCAGAACGTTTTGTGACACATCTAATCATTGATGTGACGTAATGATAATCATTACGTTATTTTCATTATATCATTACATCATTATGGAGGGATTTTTGGTTTAGGCTTAGTTTAGGTTTGTTTTAGGTTTGGTTTGGCTTGACTTAGGTTTATTTTAAGCATGACTTTGGTTTGGTTTAAGTATGGTTTAGGCTTAGCTTAGGTTTGGTTTAGGTTAGACTTATGCTTGGTTTAGTTTTGGTTTAGGCTTGGCTTAGGTTTGTGTTTTTGGTCGCTTAATCTCGGTCTTATTGAAGCTAAAAACGTTGTAGTAAAATTCTAAGCGATCCTAAGCCCAAACTAAACAAAACCTTAATTAAACCTAAACCAAAAATCCCTTTATAATGATGTAACGATAGTGACTTAATGAGAATGATTGGCGTCAGCAAAGAATTTTGAATTTATCATACTAAAAATCAATAATACATTGAGTATGGCCTTTGCTTGGACAATACTAAATTCTCTTCAAAAATTATAATTTTTAAAATTTTATACAAGGTGATTTTTTTATCACGGGCCAGTCAATATCATATACATATGAGTTCTAACTACTGACAAATTTTCAACTTAAAGGTCCTAAAATTACGGCTAAAAAACTAAAAAAAAAAAAAATCTTGAACTCCATCTAGGGGGGTGGAAAATGGGTATAATTTAAATTTGATACAACTGTCATGTGCGGGCATACTAAATAAATATTCCTAAGTGTATACAGATAAAAAAAAGCCCACATCGGAGTAAAATCAATACCTTCGCTGCTCTGCATCGAAGCTAAAAGTATTTCATTTTTTATAATATTGATTGGGGCATAATTAATCAGTCATCCTGTATATATAGGTACACTATTTAATCAGTATAATTGGACGACGGCTTATTTAATTAATAAATCACTTATACTATTGCTATGAAGAAAATGAGTTTTAATAAATTGTTATAATGGTTAATGTACATTTTATTTTTCGAGAAAACGTGGTTAATACTTTAAATGGAAGTAAGATGAAATAGGTTGAACATCATGGATGTTTTGCAAATATTATAACATTTGAAGTATTTTTCTGTAAAACATTTTTTTACATAGGTTTACATATCTACTATATTTTTTTTTATCGTTGGTGTTAACACCTTTTGTCGTCTAACCTTGGCTTAATCAAATATACGCAAAACACATGTGATATGCTACCGTAGTTTGACTTTTGCATCTCGATGTAACCAAAAAAAAAAAAACAGCCGTAGAATATATAAAAAATGCAATAATGTTTTGGACAAATTAGTTTTCAAGAATAGTATACCATACCCTGATCTTTTATTTATTAAATAAAAATAAAAATTAGAGCCAGTAAATGTTGAAACTTTAATTTCAAATCGATCCGACTCAATACCAAGTAGATACATTTTGTGATTTGTAGAGTTGCCACTCAAAAGAATAGGTCCAGTATTAAAAAAGTTACAATGTATACAGACACAAAAAAAAGCTCTCATCATTGCAAAAACCAATAGCATCGCTGCTCCACATCGAATTTATAAAATAGATCTATCAATTTTAAAAACGCTCATTGCTTTGTATTCTACTCAATAATAAAATATTTATTATTGTGGTGACACCAAACGTTCGTGGTAAATTTTCAACAAATCAGTGGTTTCATCTTAGGTCAATGCGATTTATGAATTATTTCAATTTATTGTTACAAAAGTTTTTGTACAAAAATCGCCAAATCGGCGCACGTGATTTAAAAGTGACACCGAGTTCACAAGTAAACGAATATTTAAAAATATGATTTGAAGTGTTGTTTATCGAATTCTCGCCTAAGCGTTTACACGAAAACACAATTTTTTTTAGCACAATTTTCATACCTGTTTGATGTACAAATAATATTAAATGAGCAAAAAAAACGTTATAAACATTACTACTATGTACTAGATGGTATAATAACAAAAACGAGAAAACGTTTTCAAAATTTTCCCCAAAAACGTATAGCTGTAATAACTATTGTATGACCAAAGTGTGAGCCTGAGTTAACTGTTTTTCTTATATTTTTCGATAAATATTATTTTGACACAATACGACTGACAATATTCTTTATCATCAACACGATGACTATGATTGGACTCCTCTTACTTAAGATTGATATGTGATTTAATAAAATATATAATCAAAATTTTTATCATTCGTTTTCCTACTTTGATCTACAAAAAAAAAACCTTTAAAGCGAATCACAGAATTAAAAAACCAAAAAGTAAACGTTCTATTCATAAGTACACTACACTGATGTTTTATGTTGTTTGTTAGACCTATCTTCAGACTAATTATCAGTTCTTAAATCTTAAAAATGCGCCAAAAATACGTCAACCTTTCTCGCAGGGGGGTAGAGGGTTGTCAAAATTTCGGTTTTTCCATATGCGATTTTTTTGATAGCAAATTTTATATTAAAAATGCTAAGGTTATAATAAATCGAAAATATTTTCAAAAAAACATAAAATTTCGGCTTTGTACACACATGAGAATGTCTGAGTACATTTTTTTTCCCATCGATAAATATTCATACATTTTAGGCAGAAAAAAACGTCGATCTAATGACAAAAACAATGTATAAAATTGTCAATGTTTGAATTTCCAATTTTTTTTCTTTGTTTTCTTTTGCCCATCTTAGTGTTATTTTTTACACGTTGAAAATCCAAAGGTCATAGCAAATTGTCGAAACTTGAAAATGTTATCGAATCGGATAAATCGAATCGAATCGGTATTAACACACCATTTGCGCACATAGATATTGTATTATTTTACGATTACTGCCTGTAATAGTCCGTAAAACAAATAGTAACCTAACCTTAACTATGGCTATCGACGGATATTCAAAAGGGAAAAAGCCATTAAAATTAGGGTCGGGACTTAAGTTAGACCCAACTGACTGAATGTGATAAAATCACTTTTAAAAAATGTCATTAAGACCTAAAACTTATGCTTGGGCACTCAAAACTTACCGGGACCACTATAAATAGTAATAATAGTATTTGGAAACGTAACGAAATTTATAATGTGTATCCGATGTGTAAAAAAAACTTAAATATTTGAAAATAAGATAAACACAAATAATTTCAAAAAAATAAATCACAACAAAGTTACAAATATTTTAAGAATATTGAGTGTCTTATCCATGATGCATATCACCCTGTATGTATCACGTTTACACACTTGGGTAAATCCTTGTAATGAAAATTATTAATCGTTACAAGTTTTGTTGGAATATTGCCATAATACATTGTTGGTGTTAAAACAAGAGTAACCTGTAGATAATAAATGTTTTTTATTTTAGCAGAACTCTATACAGCAATATCGATTATTTTTATAATTTGTTTTAATAATAATGTTAAATATATTTGATAAATAAGTAACAAGTTTTAAATGGTATCACTAATTAACATGTAATTCGAATAGGTTGTTAATATTATTAAAACATCGAAACTACCTTCGCCCAGGTCTTGACTACACCTAACGTTTACCATTCACTCTCGTCTTCTACATACTTTACGATCGATTGAATTATTTGGAAATTGACCTTATGGAAAGCATACCTGAGATTGGCGATAAAAGCCCGTATGTCAGATAGGATGCCGTGTACGATTTTCATTTGGCTGGATGTGTCCTGATCAGCGCTTGTAGAGGCCTGATCCGGTTTTGACCAGGAGTTGGTGGCCGTGCATTGGAGAACAACGTTAAACCTTTGCAGCTTAAACTTGAGTTGAGTAATAACGTTTTCTATGTTTACTTCATTTCGGCCGAGCCTATCGATGTAGCCCACCAAATCAATGACGTCCCGATCGTCTTGGAGGTGTAACTTTTTCTGGAATTTCGATAGCAAGAAGTGCAATTGGCTCAAGAGATCTTCCCGACGTTCATTAGTAAACGTAATGTAGTACAAAAATTTCCATGTCAGCCGGTGCGCGATGCATTTTAACAGACCGAAGACCCTTTTGTAATAACTCTTGATGCTAAACAAGGGGAGAACTAAAGCAGTGGGTGAGCACAATTTGTGCACGCAGTCATATTCGTCTTTTAGCAATTTGGAAGTCTCGTCCCAGATGATATTTACGTTGTACCGGGACAAAAACTTTGTCTTGAGTGGATTGTTGTCGCCCAGGTAGTCGAGTAACAGCTCTCTGGGCCTCAACGCTTCGTACCGCTTTTTGTACGTGGATTTTGCGTCATTTTCTTTTAGCATTACGTTTAGCTCGTCGCAGTTGTTAACCGCCTCCGTATGAAAAAGGTCCATATCTGGTTGGCCACTCGGCATGGCGGCCCTCAGCCGCGCGCATCGATCTGCAAATGAGTCAAACTGGTTGCCGGGTCGACAATCGGCGTCCGACAATTCCTTATGCATTCTGCCCGCCACGTAGTCGTGGATCACCACCAGTCTGTCCACGGCCAACGTCTGGTCGGCTATGTTCGCCGCGCCGTGGACATACTTTTCGTAATAAGACCGCACCATGTTAACGTAAAAGAGTAGAATCCACAACGTGCCGATTTCCACGTCTGGCACACCGTACAGGGTGCATATCACCGCTCGGATCTTGTAGTGGCCTATTAAATCAACCACCATATTGATCGAATGGATTTTGTACTCCAGAATAAATCTCACCAGTCGCATGTGCGTCATTCCTGCCAGAAGATACGTGCATTTCAAATCTTTGTACTGGTTTGCCGTCGTTGGGCTATTCTCCGTGCCATAATCATAACCGGTTTTCATCGACAGTGCAGGTTGGTTCAATGAAGTCATCAGGCTTAACAAGGCCACTAGGCTGAAGACGATTGTCGTTGGCGATAATTTCGAAAACGTCATTTCGTCGAAAATCCGCACCAAGTCTCGATAGTGAATCGTAACTAAACAGCAAAGCTTTTTTTTCGGCTTCAAACCTCGGTCGTCAAACATTATTTACAGAACTCATATTTTGTCAATAACACCATGTTGGTTTAAAATACACGTACATGCTTAGGCTGAATTTGTATTTATTTTATTGACATGAATACTTTATATGGCTAGAGGCCTGACAAAAATTCAAATGAAACGAAACGCGGGACGCCCTCCGCCTCACCTTACCACTGCACTTCCATCATCGCTGCCGCTGCCGACCAAACTTTAGTATACGAACAGCACATGCTCACACGAGTACACACCACACCCACATCCTGGTCACTTATTTTGATTAGTCATATATTATTACAATGAATATTATAACATACATTGTTGGTGATAAAACAATTTTATATACTATTTTGTCGTTAGATTGACGAATTTTTTTGATTAAAATTTTAATACTTGACTCATAAATATTTATGGATGACAGTTAAAAATAAACGTACTAAGTCATTAATGTGCACAAGTGCCGAATTGTAAGTTTTTCAAAAATCTTTCAATTTATTATATCCTTAGCATTTTTAACACAAAAAGTTTTATCAACGAAATTGCACATAGAGAAAACCCCAAATTTCGTCAACCCTCCCTCCAGGCCTGTAAAAAATTTGCGCCAAATATTTTGAATACAAAATATTTGGCGACAGGTAATCGAGTGTTGGGCACTCGCTCGCTCCGCTTAAGTACAAATATGCTAGGTTTGTACAGTCTAGGAGGAGGGCAAAGGTTTTAAGTTAAGTCAAATTTATATTTAAGAAAAAGTAAAAAATTAAAAATTAAATAAATTAATTAAGTCCACAGAAAAAAAGTTATCGGTCTACAGGTACAAAAAAAAATACAAAATTTTAAAATAATTGAAATTTTTCTTATATCTGATGTTAAAACTAAAAAACATTAGGAATATATTTATAGTTCCTCTAAAATTTAAATACAATTGTGTTTATTTGTAATTTTTTGTTTTTTTTTTAAATACAGATCTAATGGAAATATAGTTATTAGAGTTAATATTTATAGTAATTTTTTTGAGTTAATGCTTTTTTTTGTCTCGTTAAAAGTTAAGTTAACGAAATATTTTAAATTGAATTAACAGTTAAAAGTTATAAATAATCAGTTAAGTCAACAAAAAACCATTAACTTTAACTCAAGTTTAGTTAATTTGTATCATTTTTTTTAATAACCGCTTAACAGAGGTGTCTATTTAAAATATCCAGAAAAGCTTATAAACAGATATAAATAATAAAATAGATTGTTAAATGTAGTAAAATACACGTACACGCTTAGGCTGAATTTATATAATTTTTTATTGACATGAATACTTTTATATGGGTAGAGGTCTGACAAAAATTAGTGTAAAACGAAACGCGGGACACACCTCGCCTTACTTTACCGCTGCACCACCGTCGTCATTTAGGCTGACGACCAAACTTTAGTATACGTACTGCACAAGCACACACGTGTACACACAGCAGCAGCCCGTGTAGTGCACTAGTGGGCGTAAGGGATCCTGGTCGCTTATTATGTTTAGTCATACAAGAGTAACCTTTAGATAATAAACGTTTTTTTTTTTTAAATTTTATTTTAAAAGAACCATTTACAGCAATGTCGAGTATTTTTATAAATTTTTGTTAAGAATAATATTAAATATATTTGTTAAATAAGTAACAAGTATTACATTGTATCACTAATTAACATGTAATTCGAATAGGTTTTTACACTAGTTTTTAATATTTTTAAATTATCGAAACTGTCTTGGCCAGGTCTTGATAAAATAACATTGCCCGACAATAAAATACATTATTACATAACTACAATATTTCTTGCAACACACAACGTTTACCATTTACTCTCGTCTTTTACATACTTCACGATCGAATGAATTACTTGGAAATCGACTTGATGGAAAGCATACTGGAGATCAGCGATGAAAGCCCGTATGTCTGTAAGGATGCCTTGTACGATTGTCTTTTGGCTGGATGTGCCCTGATCCGCGCTTGTAGAGGCCTGATCCGGGTTTGACCAGAAGTTGGTGGCCGTGCATTGGAGAACAACGTTAAACCTTTGCAGCTTAAACTCAAGCTGAGTGATAACGTGGTCTATGTTTATTTCATTTCGGCCGAGCCTTTCGATGTAGCCCACCAAATCCATGACGCTCCGATCGCCTTGAAGGTGTAACTTTTTCTGGAATTTCGATAGCAAGAAGTGCAATTCACTCAAGAGATCTTCCCGACGTTCATTAATAAACTTAAGGTGGTACAAAAATTTCCAGGTCAGCCGGTACGCTATGCATTTTAACAGACCGAAGACCCTTTTGTAATATCTCTTGATGCTAAATAAGGGAGAAACTGAAACAATGGGGGAGCATAATTTGTGCACGCAGTCATATTCGTCTTTTAGCAATTTGGAAGTTTCGTTCCAGGTGATTTTCACGTTGTACCGGGACAAAAACTTTTTCTTGAGGGAATTGTTGTCGCCAAGATTGTCGAGTAACAGATCTCTGGGCTTCAACGCGTTGTACCGTTTTCCGTAAGTGGAATTTGCGTCGTTTTCTTTCAGCAGTGCGTCCAGCTGATCGCAGTTGTTAACCGCCTGCTTGTGAAAGAGTTTCATATCGGGCGGTTGGCCGTTTGGCATGGCGGCCCTCAGCCACGCGCATCGATCTGCAAATGAGTCAAACTGGTTGCGGGGTCGACAATCGGCGTCCGTCAATTCCCTTTGCATTCTGCTCACCACGTAGTCGTGGATGACCACCAGTCTGTCCACGGCCAACGTCCGGTTGGCTTCGTTCGACGCGCCGTGGATATAGTTTTGGTAATAAGGCCGCACCATGTTTACGTAAAAGAGTAGAATCCACAACGTGCCGATTTCCACGTCCGGCACACCGTACAGGGTGCATATCACCGCTCGGATGTTGTAGTGGCCAATTAAATAGACCGCATTATTTATATAATTGATTTTATCCTCTAGAATGAATCTCACTAGCCGCATGTGCGTCATTCCGACCAAAAGATACGTGCATTTCAAATCTTTGTACTGGTTTGCCGTCGTTGGACAGTTCTCCGCGCCATAATCATAACCGGTATTCATCGACAATGCAGGTTGGTTCAATGAAGCCATCAGGCTCAACAAGGCCACTAGGCTCAAGACGATTGTCGTTGGCGATAATTTCGAAAACGTCATTTCGTCGAAAATCCGCACCAAGTCTCGATAGTGAATCGTAACTAAACAGCAAAGCTTTTTTTTCGGCTTCAAACCTCGGGCGTCAAACATTATTTACAAAACTCGTATTTTGTCTATAACACTACGTTGGTTTAAAACACACATTCACGCTTAGAATTGATTAATCTTTTTTTATTGACATGAATATTTCTTATGGCTAATGGTGAAAATTCGAGCGAAACGAAACGCGTGACGCCTCTCGCCTCACCTTACCACTGTACTATCGCCATCGCTGCTGCTGCCGACTAAACTTCAGTTTACATACTGCACAAGCTCACACGTGTACGCACAGGACCCGCCTGTGTAGTGTTCTAGTGGGCGCAAAGGGATCTTGGTCGTTTATTATGTTTAGACATATATTATTAAGATCCGTTAACCTATTATAATAACTAAATTTCTTTTAACTACAGCACACATATTTTATAATAATATAATATATCAAAGCCCAACTTGCCCAAACACCGCTAGATTGTCATTTATTAGGTAGGTTTTTCTTCGGAAAGAAGAGTTTGTCTTTACTAGATACGGCGAAAACATTCATACTCAAAATTATATTTTGTATTTCAGCTAACACAAGTCGCTACATAGTATTTCGTATGGGCCGTCTTTAAATAACGTTGAAACTAATAAGATTTAAATGTTAATAGTTCTTAAATGTTAATTTATACATATAATTCGTACCCATTAACACGTTCGCTACCATAAGGGTACACGAGTTCTCTCACAGATAGTCACCTATCACAGGTAGATAACGTGTATTCAAGACGCTTTAACGGTATTTGGTACACTTTTGTAAAAGTAAATGGCGTTAGTGTGGCATCAAACACAAAATATAATGAGAGAGCCCGAGTGCCCACACGGTACAGAACAATAGATTAGGTGAGAGAACCCAAGAACCCTCATGTTACACCAAGAGTATTATAAAAAATGGCTTGATAGCCAACGTATTAAATAACGTATTGCTTTATCTGACGACCAAACTTTAGTAAACGTACTGCACAAGCACACACGTGTACACACAGCAGCAGCCCGTGTAGTGCACTAGTGGGCGTAAGGGATCCTGGTCGCTTATTATGTTTAGTCATACAAGAGTAACCTTTAGATAATAAACGTTTTTTTTTTTTTAATTTTATTTTAAAAGAACCATTTACAGCAATGTCGAGTATTTTTATATTTTTTTGTTAAGAATATTATTAAATATATTTGTTAAATAAGTAACAAGTATAACATTGTATCACTAATTAACATGTAATTTGAATAGGTTTTTACACTAGTTGTTAATATTTTTAAATTATCGAAACTGTCTTGGCCAGGTCTTGATAAAATAACATTACCCGACAGTAAAATACATTATTACATAACTACAATATTTCTTGCTACACACAATGTTTACCATTTACTTTCGTCTTCTACGTACTTGACGATCGATTGAATTACTTGGAAATCGACATGATGGAAAGCATACTGGAGATCAGCGATGAAAGCCCGTATGTCTTTTAGGATGCCGTATACAATTTTCTTTTGGCTGGATGTGCCCTGATCAGCGCTTGTAGAGGCCTGATCCGGTTCTGACCAGGAGTTGGTAGCCGTACATTGGAGAACAACATTAAACCTTTGCAGCTTAAACTTGAGCTGAGTAATAACGTTTTCTATGTTTACTTCATTTCGGCCGAGCCTTTCGATGTAGACCACCAAATCAATGGCGTCCCGATCGTCTTGGAGGTGTAATTTTTTCTGGAATTTCGATAGCAAGAAGTGCAATTGGCTCAAGAGATCTTCTCGATGTTCATTAATAAACGTAAGGTGGTACAAAAATTTCCAGGTCAGCCGGTACGCGATGCATTTTAACAGACCGAAGACCCTTTTGTAATAACTCTTGATACTAAACAATGGGAGAACTAAAGCAGTGGGTGAGCACAATTTGTGCACGCAGTCATATTCGTCTTTTAGCAATTTGGAAGTTTCGTCCCAGATGATATTTACGTTGTACCGGGACAAAAACTTTTCCTTGATTGGATTGTACTCCCCCAGGTTTTCGAGTAACAGCTCTCTGGGCCTCAACGCGTCGTACCGCTTTCCGTACGTGGATTTGGCGCCGTTTCTTTTCAGCAGTACGTCTAGCTCGTCGCAGTTGCTTACCGCCTCCGTGTGAAAAAGGTTCATAACAGGGGGTTGGCCGCTTGGCATGGCGGCCACCAGACGCGCGCACCGATCTTCAAATGAGTCAAACTGGTTGCCGGGTCGACATTCGGCGTCCGTCAATTCCCTTTGCATTCTGCCCGCCACATAGTCGTGGATGACCACCAGTCTGTCCACGGCCAACGTCCGGTCGGCTTCGTTCGACGCGCCGTGGATATACTTTTGGTAATAAGGCCGCACCATGTTTACGTAAAAGAGTAGAATCCACAACGTGCCGATTTCCACGTCCGGCACACCGTACAGGGTGCATATCACCGCTCGGATGTTGTAGTGGCCTATTAAAATGACCGCCATATCGATAGAATTGATTTTGTCCTCTAGAATGAATCTCACTAGCCGCATGTGCGTCATTCCGGCCAAAAGATACGTGCATTTCAAATCTTTGTACTGGTTTGCCGTCGTTGGACTGTTCTCCGCGCCATAATCATAACCGGTATTCATCGACAATACAGGTTGGTTCAATGAAGCCATCAGGCTCACCAAGGCCACTAGGCTCAGGACGACTATCGTTGGCGATAGTTTTGAAAGCGTCATTTCGTCGACAATCCGCATCTAGTCTCAATACTGAATCGTAACTAAACAGCAAAGCTTTTTTTTTCGGCTTCAAACCTTGGGCACATAAAACACGCATACACGCCTGGGATTAATTAATCTTTTTTTATTGACATGAAAGTTTATTTTGGCTAGAGGTCTGAAGAAAATCCGAGTGAAACGAAACGCGTGACGCCCCCCGCCTCTTCTTACCGCCGCGTCCCGCCATCGCTGCCGACACGTGCTGCACAAGCTCACACGTTTACGCACAGCATCCGCCCGTGTAGTGTTCTAGTGGGCGCAAAGGGATCGTGGTCGTTTATTATGTTTAGGCATATATTATTGAGATCCGTTAACCTATTATAATAACTAAATTTCTTTTAACTACAGCACACATATTTTATAGTAATATAATATATCAAAGCCCAACTTGCCCTAACACCGCTAGATTGTCATTTATTAGGTAGATTTTACTTCGGAATGAAGAGTTTGTCTTTACTAGGTACGGCGAAAACATTCATACTCAAAATTATATTTTGTATTTCAGCTATCACAAGCCGCTACTTAGTATTTCGTATGGGCCGTCTATAAATAACGTTGAAACTAATAAGGTTTAAATGTTAATTTATACATATCAATGGTATCCTTTAAATATTGTATTGCTTTATCTCTCTCTCTATATATATATATAACGTCGTGGTTAATATAATGTAGTGGGGCCAGCATTTTGTAAATTTGAACTTTTGAACATTTTAAAATATTTTATTATTTTAAGGTATTTGGTTTTAATAAATTATGCTGTTCAGGGGTCTAGCGATTTGTTTTAATATTTGTAAATAGCGCATACGTGTTTATTTATTATTTGTAAGTACAATGTACGGTCGTTTCTTTTTTTAATAATTTAATTCGTTAAATTTTAAAACGTTATTGATAGTGGGACACTTGTATACACAAAAACTGATACATACACCTTGAGTTTCTAAAACTAAAATTCACTCAACAAAAAAAACTTGGTCTGAACAAATGTAAAATAGACACGTCATTCAAAAATAACCCCACTAGGAATCTGATGATGTCGATTGTATACGGTTCGTTTGCTACGTTATTAAAAAACCATATGAAAACATAATTTTGTTATAATTCAAGTAATAGGTGGTTGTAAATTATAGTCTAAACGAAATCAAGTTACAATGGAAAATTGCCGAAAAAGGCTTCTTATATATTAAGCGTAAAAAAATCAAAATCATAAACTTAATCATTTTGGCAGTCGCGACATTTCGTTACCGCGAGAAGCAAGCAAGCAAACGTATTTTTTTCCGTTGACTTCAAATCCACATCAAGACAGAACTATGGCGCATTTCCATGTACTGACGAAAACGGTTTTAGGCTTGGCGATGTTCGTTTGCCAACCAACACAATCATTGGAAACTGGATGCAAGTACCCCGGTAACGTCAGTGTTGAAAAAGATGTTCTCTGCTATGATTTAAAATGCACATACATGTTTAGCGGATTGACGCACATGATGGCAACAAAGCAATTATTTAGACAGCAGCGTCTATCGATGGTGATTGGTAAAATAATTCCTTACAATGTCACAAAAAACCAAATACATTCGCTGTACCACTTAAAAGTAACGCGTATGGGTGCCTTGTGGGTACAATATTTGTACTTGGCTATGTTGAGCGAATTTTACCACAAGTCGTCGAATAAGGAGGAAGACGGTCAGAAAATCATCGCCACTCACAACTATGTGATCGCCCAATTGCGCAAAGACCTAACAGATTGCCGTAAAGATAATTCATTCAACAACGAGTGGAAGATTATCATCACGAACGGGAAGCCTCCGAAAGAATACCTGATGACTTTAATAAGCAATAACATCACCGAATCCATTGGGTTGCTTGCAAAAAACAATATATCCAATCAACCGTCTGATGGAAAAGTTGTGAGCGCATTACAAATCGGAAGTCTTTTTCTCAACAACATAGGTTCAAAAGATGAATTCATAGGAGATTTAATGGACGCATTCAACGTGCAAGTGGACTGGTCCAGCACGGGTGAACGATTGAGTAAATCTTGGGGTGATGCACATGTACTGTATTGGCCTATATTTTTTGAAAACCTAAAATTATACTATAAACTGATTTTTAATTTCCTAAAAATCATTATGCTCCGGCTGACGGCAAAACACCTTAAATATTTAGAACCCTTTTTCGGTACGGACCTTTACGTGCGTTACGCGGAAGAATGGTATAAGAAGGTCCAACAATTCGGCGATATGTTGAGCTTGACTGAAGATTTACACGTAAAAGACTTGCTAGCTTCTCTCGATAACCTCGTTAAAAAAGAAAAAACAATTGGCAGTGTTGTTGACCACTTAAATCCAATACTGGAAACACTTTGTCAGCCTCTCGGGTGCGACGCTACCAAGGAATTCGAGCTAAACGGTGAAGAATTTGGGAAAACTTTCAAAAATACGATAAAGAAAAATGGTTTTAAAATTAAAGAAAGCCCTATGGATATCGAGCATTATAGTTTGGAAAATACTAGAGCGTTCTTGACCTATCTCAGTTGGGTGTTCAGATATTCCGACTTTAACTTGATTCAATTACTTATAAAATATATAAATGAAGTAAAACCCTAATAGTGTATTGATAGATTGGAAAATTGTCATCGTGGTATATTTGAATTTTATTACATAATATAGTAAAATATTACAATTTATATTTATTATATAATATACTTATTTTAATGTATTATCTAGATACCTTCGTACAATACCGTAGTACGTCATAAATACATTTCTCTAAAATACACAATCATTGTATTTTTTTAAACTTAAATACCACAACGGACAGTACGGTTTCCCGGTGAGATATTTGGTATTATATGCTCCAGATAAGCGAAGAGGATAACTTTTTTTTTATCTACAACATCTCTTTTATTTATTTCATTATCTCTTTTTTAATTTATTTAATATTAAGCGGTTGTATTATAGGCTTGACTAGCTATTTGGCCGGTCTTGCCTGTTTGAAACCCCTGCGTGCTAGACTAGGTAGACATTACTTAATTTTAATGTTAACTTTTTCTAATTAAAAAAGGTTACATTATTAATTATTCACTTACATAGCTATTATTAAAAATTGAGTAAGTTGGTATACTCAATAATTGGCAATTGTACTTATATACATTGTTTCAAATAACTTTAATTGCCTTTCCTGAAAATTTTCATTTTATGGAGTTAATCGGTTTGGCATCTGAGCGCTTCATATACACTATGTACGTATGGATGTGACAACGATTCAATGGAAAATAAATATGTATGAATAATGTACGGTTTGGTTCATTGAAAAATTAAAAATTGTTATGAAATTATTTGATATTTTATTGATTAAATAACGGTTATAATGATACTTTTGTCGTAAGACAAAAAGAAAGGAATGGAACCTCTCTAGACTCTTGATGTACACTGGTGAACACTGGTACAAGAGTAAAACGGATAGCTGTCCGGGTTCTTGTCGAAGAGCCGTTGTTTATACCGGATTAAAAAGAATTAGAGAATTGGAAAGGATAGGTACAAGGTGCGAACGAATCGCAAGACACGAGTACCCAAGGAAATGTAAGCACACACGGTGCGAACGAATCGCAAGACACGAATACTTGGAGAGATGAAGGAAGGATAAAGTACGAGGTGCGAACGAATCGCAAGACAAGCGCACAAGGAAAGAGGATAGACTACTAGGTGTAAATGAACAAACTCTCGAACTTAAACCTTGTAGACGGACAGCGACAACCGATTACTCTTGACTGATGACATATAACTCTGGTAAAGTCGACTGACAAAATGTTATTGACTCTCATTGACTTTTATAAATTTTTACAATTTGCAATTCAGCGTTATTGTTAATTTAATCGTTTGGTCATCAGTCTCAAGTCGCCGGAAGCACTGCCCGCATTTATTTAAAAAACATGTAACCTATATTGATGACGTGGTCATCATATAACACTTTGATAACGACAGTAAGTTGTGTTGCGTACGTCGTGTTTAAACGGTGTTAGTACAGATAGTCTTCTCTGTATCGCGGTCCGTACTCGACAAATCGCTCGAAATTTGTCGATGTTCTGAGCTTAACCAGCGATTGGACCGCTTTGAAATTTATATTGTTAAATATGTATTTCATATATCCGATCAACACTTCGGCGCACAGAATGGTCGTTTGAATAGGTTCATTCAGCCGGTGTTCTGATGCTTTTAATTCGGGGCTGAACGGAATTTGATATTCTTTCGCAATGGTCATTATCCAGAATTCTTCGATGTTGATCCTCCGCAACGATTCGGCCGTGTGATGGCTCATAGGGATCCTTGCCAACATTTCGTTTTTCCTCAGCGTGGCGATCACCTTGTTCTGTAAGGTGGGTAACGTTCCTTCCGATATGCAATTATCGCTATCCCACGTTTGGTGCAATTCACTCACGTAGAAACCATTATCCTCTTTGGGCAAGTGCAAAAAATCACACCAATCGTTGTAGGGTCTTAAAAATTGTTCGACGCGTTCCTGCCGTAGGTCTTTGTTTAACGTTTTCAACTTCTCCAAGAAATCGTAATAGATCCGCAACATCATCGTCTTGAACGCTAGCTGCGCGTGTTCGTGGAAGTCCGCCAGCGACGAGACGTACTCCGGAAAAGACATAGGCCTACTGCAGCTTTTCATTTTAGTAACTATATCCCTCAGATAGTCGACCGATCGCTTTCCGTCTTCAAACACACCGAAATCCGTCAGCAGAGTGGTCGACTGTACGTTCTCGAATACGTCGTTCAAATACAGCAGGTCCAAGGTGAAATTTTCTTCGGTCAGAGGCCGAACGCCATCTGGTGCTGGACCAGAAGAAGTACCGACCTCGTTTTGACAACAGCCCGCCAGACTGGAGTTATGACGCAGGTCGTCCCAGTGCTTGCCCAGAAGTTTCAACACCGCATTCGAGTTTCCCAGAAAGTTGGTATACGTCGGTTTCGTCCGTTGCATGTCGGCCACGTAA